ATAATGTCCAAACAAGAGTTCAATGTGAGGATGTGACTAAACTTCCAAACGTTCTGATACTTTCCAGGCAACACCGACTGTGTGCACGGTGAAAAAAATGGGGGTACAAATTGCGCACTCACCAAATGCGCAACCTTTATGCGCTTTTCTCTCAAATATAAGACCTCCACTCCCTCATCCAGGGTCTGGTCAGATCTGGTCAGGTCCCCTTCTTAATCCAAAACCTTGTAATCAGCCTCCTCCTTTGATTATCACCACTCTCCAAGATACCTGGCTCCCTCAGGAGCTGCTTCCCAGAAGTGTGGTCCTTGTCCTCATCTGATGAGTAATCTGTTGCTTGGATGAGCCCACAGTGGGTTTGTTTGTCTCGGGTGTGTTTGGCCAGACTGGTTCCAGCCTCTCCCATTATATGAAGAACATTTCGGGAGATCCTTCTGCTGAGCTGCGCAATCTTCCTTCTCGGTTTCTGTTTCAGCCTGCCTGAGCTGATAAAGATAAAGAAAAGAGTTTGTCCCACTGCCAAAATCTCAACAGGACTTGTAGACACCTGCGGTCTCCTCTGCAACCGCTCACCGCATCCCGGGGACAAGGACCACACTTCTGGGAAGCAGCTCCTGAGGGAGCCAGGTATCTTGGAGAGTGGTGATAATCAAAGGAGGAGGCTGATTACAAGGTTTTGGATTAAGAAGGGGACCTGACCAGATCTGACCAGACCCTGGATGAGGGAGTGGAGGTCTTATATTTGAGAGAAAAGCGCATAAAGGTTGCGCATTTGGTGAGTGCGCAATTTGTACCCCCATTTTTTTCACCGTGCACACAGTCGGTGTTGCCTGGAAAGTATCAGAACGTTTGGAAGTTTAGTCACATCCTCACATTGAACTCTTGTTTGGACATTTTCCTTTCCTCACGTTTATCAGACACATTAGTGTTTATTAACTATATGCACTATGTCACCTTGAATTTTTATGTATAATCATCTTCATTTATTTGTATATTAGCGCTGCACCTTTTATATACTGACCATTATTCATACATGACTGTGTCCCTATAAATGTTAACAAGAAATAGGTCAGTGCAGATCAACTGAAATGCAGAATAAAATGGCCTAATTATTCCCAATTACTGGTCAGTGCATTGGGATTTTAAATTAACTGGAGAGGCGAGAAAATCCAGAGGAACACAATTAACTGCTGATACAAAGCCATACTACTTTTTTATTTGAATGATTATTATTATTACTACTACTCTTACTACGCTGGGCACACTGATGGAAATACGAATGGTAAGACTGCGAATGAGGAGGTGATAATTGCTCATCAAGCATTTACATTTTACCATTTTTTTAAAAAAGTTATCTAAAGTGGACTTTTTAGCAACTTTTCAGGTCTGCATATTAAAAAAGGTCCACTTTAAAGATGAACTCTAGAATAGCTGTCAATTTACTTCATTCAAGTAGGAAAAGCTACAATAAACATACATTAACCACTTGCCTACTGGGCACTTCTACCCCCTTCCTACCCAGGCCAATTTTCAGCTTTCAGCACTGTCGCACTTTGAATGACAATTGTGCGGTCTTGCAACATTGTACCCATATTAAATTTTTATCATTTTTTTCACACAAATAGAGCTTTCCTTTGGTGGTATTTAATCACCACTGGGGTGTTTTTATTTTTTGTGCTATAAACAAAAAAAAGAGCAAAAGAAATGTGAAAAAAATGTCTTTGTTTCTATTATAAAATTTTGCAAACAGGTAATTTTTCTCCTTCACTGGTGTGCGTTGATGAGGCACTGATAGGCAGCACTGATGGGCACTGATGAGGTGGCATGGATAGGCGGCACTGATGGGCGGCATTGATAGGTGGCATATGATTAGCTGGCTTTGATGATGCTGCACTGATAGGCAGCACTGATGGGTGGCACTGAGGGGCGCAGGTGGGCGGTACTGATCAGTGCCGGTCCCTTCGCTGACAATTTCTGGTTCTCGACAGTACTTCCCTCATGTTGTGGCAGCGTGAGGAAAGTGCAGCTGATAACCGGCAACTGTATTTACCGGATGATCTGCTGTGTAATTGGACACAGCTGATCACGTGGTAAAAGGCCACTTTGATTGGCCGTTTACCGTATGACGTGATCAGCCGTGTCCGAAGGACACAGCGATCACCGGCGGCACTGGGAGGCGCGCATCCTGGAATGACGTCCATAGAAATTGTCCCAGAACCAGACAACCGCGCTGTAGCCGTCCTTCAGCTATAGTGCGGTTGGGAACTGGTTAAAATGGTGCTTACCCTTTGCCCTGTATGAAATGTACCATAAATTACAATGTAAATGCCTTTAAGCTTTTCTAAGAGGTTACGTGACCTCAAAGCTCTGACTCCTTAGTGTAAACCTGCATTTGCTGCACATTAATGCTCTATCTCGCACAATGGCTAGAGCAGTGGAAGCCCACGGGTGACATCATTTAGCCCTGTTGTCCGTTTGCACATTTACATTGAATTACTGAGGTACAGCTTTGCCACCCAGTAGTTCATGGATATGCTCTTTATTCTTAAATTAGAACTATATGCAACCTTCCCCCCCCCCTTTTGGATAGAGTAAAAGAAACATTATAACCCCTAAAAGTTTTTTTTATGCCATTTGTATCCCATTGGGGAGATTTATCTTCACTCCTTGTCCCATAGGCAAAACAGCAAGTGAGAAGAAACCCCTGCAAATTAAGGGAATCCATTGGGGGTCACCAGAACTACTAGTGTCCCCCTTGGAAGATTTCCCCTCTGTTATTGATACGGGGACAACCCATAGTTTGGGATTTGGTTTTTTATTTCACTTTTGATGATAACGGTAAGTAGGTCAAATAGAGAGGGTGAATCTCCCTGAGGTCAGAGGTAGCAACAAAAAAATATATATATATATATGTGTTCTAATCCCTCTCCACTCTATCCAAAACAACAAAAAGTGTAGCCTTTAGTTATACTTTAAGCCTGACCTCTTCCTCCTGTGTGTTGGTTACAGCTCTGCCATCCCTGCCAATGTTTGAATAGGGTAGGCAGAGCTGCTGTTAGAAACCCCAATACAGCCAACCTGACAGCCCCCCCCCCAAAAAAAGCACAGTTTATTATGCTTCAGTTATGAATGGACACAGTGAATGGTCAGTACTGATCAGTCATTGTGTTCATTCAGGAATGAAAGGGACTGGTAAATGTGACATATTTACTGGACCCTTCCCGCACTCTCCATCTTGAAGGATCCTATTGTGTGCTTCCAGCTGCCGGTGGGAAGGAGAGGAGGAAAGCCAGCAGTGCTGCGGGAGTGGGAGCATACAAGGGCACCTGGACAGCAGGTGGAAACAAATGGTGCACAGGGAGAGTGATGGGTGGGGCGGGGTGGGCAATTCAGGAACTGATCCCCTGCATGGCTCTCTGCAGCAGCTGAAAGCCAGCGGGAGGGATAGAAGAAGCCAGCTTTCAGCTGCGGGGGAGAACCATACAGGGGATAGGTTCCAGTAATTGCCCCCCTGCCGTGTCAATTCCCCTCTCCCTGCCCACATCCAATTCACCTAGCTGCCTGGGCCCCCCCTGTTGGCCAGGGACTAGTACAGGAGGACTGGTAGTACCTTATCCACAGTCCTGAGAGTAAGAGTTAGGAGTGTGAGCCAAACTCACACTCCTGCCGCTACTGCTCAGCAGGTCTCGATGGTGCTAGTGCCATCATTGCCAGGTGACAAGGACAACACTCCTCACTTTGAACCAATTGGCAGCTGACATGTTCATGGTGCTAGGCAGTGGCTAGGTTCATCTGCTTAGCCTTCTCTTTCATTTAATGGCCAGTGGCCACACCCCCCTGCTTCTTTTTGCAATGCCTGGATTGGTCGCCCTTATTTGGCACCTTATATAAGCATCACAAGTCCTCTGGCTTGTGATAGCGCTCCTGCTTCCTGGCTCCCTACCTGTATCTCTGCCAATCCCTACTTTGGATTACTCTTTCTGACCCTTACTCGGATTACTGACTACTGAACTTCCACACCTGCTGCTGTATTTAAAGTGGTTTTAAAGTCAAAAGTATTTTTTTTTAATCCTAATGCAATAAAGCGGAACTTCACTCTCAGTGAGCAAGGACAATGTGTGACCCTTATGCTGCTAGCATTAGTAAATAGATAGGAAAGTATATCATATTTACTTGTTTTAAATAGTTTTTACATTTCTTTAGTTACTTCCTGGTTTCCATGCCTAGGCAAATGATGTCATACATCCCAGGAGTCTTCAGGAGGGGAGCGTTCTCAGCTCAGCCAATGCCTGAGCTAAGGGCAGATGGATTCCAGAAAGTAAATGCTACATGAATCATCTACCCTTTTTCAAGATGGCCACAGCCAGAATTGCTAGGGGGTGTTTTTTCAAATGATTTCTCAGCAAAATATAGCATTGACACATCTTAGATTGTAAACTCCAAGGAGCAGGGCCCTCCTAACCCTCTTATATTGAACTGCATCATTGCTGAATTGTCTCCCTTTATATTGTAAAGCACTGAGCAAATTGTTGGCGCTGTATAAATCTTGTATAATAATAATAGATGGATGGGGGAGTTTGCATTAAATATTAAAATCGAATTAAATAGCATTTTTTGTTAGTGGTGCTCAAATCTTCCTATATCATTCCTGCCCCCTCCTCCTAAACACTTACTTACCTCCTTTCTTTATCCATTGCTGTACACATCTGCACCGGTACTGGTCCCTCTTCCTGCAATCACAGGAGGCTCTGAGAGTAGCGGGACCATTGGCCCTTGCTGCTGTCAGCAAATCCTGAGAGGAGGGAGGGGCGTGGTCGAGCTATGTGTGTGTGTCTATGGACATTGTCATGGAAATTTTGTTTTTATAGGTTGAACTTTAAATGTGTCATATATGAGTGTTATTCATATGTCTCTCGTGTGGCTTAATTAAAGCTCTGAAGGCTGCAATTGGGCCATGCGCATTTACAATGTATGTATTACAGTACTCAGCTCGGTAATGGATGAGATGGCAGATCTGCGCTTATAGACCGGCGTGTATACCACCACGGCATTCGATGCGAATGCCGCCGGCGGTAGGCCGCGGGCCTGTATCCACATATCAGCAGCATAGTACCACATGGACTTTGTACCGCCAGGCGCCAAGCAGTGCGAACTCCGTGTGTAGGCTCATGGATATCTTACAAGCCATTACCGACCTGGACTGTATCTGGATGGATGTGTTTTAATAAAGATCGTATCGGGCCCATTCAGATATAGACTGACACTGTTTAATCTAGGGGATGCTTGTACAGAGAATGGACATACTAGTAGGAGCTGATAGGATGGGAAGCCTGCTCTCCACAGAGAGCTCACCATGGGAAAAAGGGAGGGGAGAACTGGTTTCCAGTATAGAAAAAAGGAAAGGCTATGCTCCAATCAGGATGTACATTCTGTGTATAGACACTCCCCATTGCATTGTTCTGTGGGAGGGGATTGACCTGACCCCCCCCCCTTGAGTGGGGGGGGGCGTGCGTGTGTTTTGTAATAAAACCAGAGGCTGAGAATGAAAACGTTCTCTATGTGAATTTCAACAGCAACCTGAGAGTGTCGTGTGATCATTCCTAGGTAACTGGAGCTCCATTTCCCCACATCTCGAGATAGCTAAACCAGTTGGAGGCGCAGGAATCGTGGAGTTTAGCTGAAGTCGTGGTAAGCGAGATTCGCACATTCGCACAGCTTTATGGGGGATTGCTGCGCATCCAACTGCGAGTACTCACAGTAAGGAGAAATTTGTTAAAAAGCGAATTTCCAAGACAGTTTGGCGAGCCAGTGGATCCTAACATGAATTCTGGGATAGCTAACCGAGTACGAGGGGGGAATGAGCTATCATGAACTAGCAAAAAGTATGCCGGCACATTTCAGGTCTCTCTACCGTTAAGAGGATCGCTTTTTGCACGTTCGTGTGGCTAATTTCGCTCTTTGTTAGCTAACGTGAATTCCGCTTAGCAAGGACCTAGTTGTCCTAAAATCTTGATTTGTGGGTGAAAGACAAGGGTTTTTTTCTCTGCTAAGAGCAGCAGAGGGGTGGGTTTGGTTGGCTGGATTTGGTCAAGTTTAAAAATCTTTCAACCAAAAATTAAACGGGTATATGGTTTAGCGGGTTAAAAGTTTTTGCATAGTTTAGGTATTTGCGGGTTGTAGGTACTGTGGTAATTGCTTTACCTCCCTCCACGTGAGGTAATTATTACAGTGCTGAAAGGTTTAGGTTAATTGTTAACTGTTGTAAGATCTTTTGTGTGTATATAGTCTGTGCCGTGTTTTGTCGGTACTACTGCTCCCAGCAAGCATGCAGCAGTGGGTCCTTTCTGTTGCATGCGCATGTTAGTGTAATATGTCGTTTTTTCTATGTCCGTTCTGTGATTGTGCCAAATTGTGTTGTATGTGTACTGCATATTGTTGTGTAATTGTCCAGAGTATGTTTTGTCCAAAAGTCTGTTTTATGTAAGAGGTTAGAGGCAATTTTGAGGCTAGTGTCTGCCATGTGTTTTCTCTGGTGGTGGCCATTTTACTGACTCCCATGTGCTTTCTCTGGTGGCCATTTTGTTGACTACCACATGTGCAGTAATCTCTATGCAATGTGTATGCAGTTTTCTATATGCATTTGACCAGTTTTGTGTTTTTAATCCAAATTTTTACAGTTTAAGTTGTTTGCTTTTAGCTTTAAATTTGCGTATTGCCAGCCAATTTAAAGTGTGTTAAGCGAGTTTTCCCCTCACGTGTTCCACATTTAGTGAGCGCGGTGAAGTCTGGGTTTTTGCACATAGATTTCTTGTATAGTGATTATGTTTTTCTTGTGTTTTTCTTGTTAAAAGTAGTTCCTTATTGTAAAGCGGGTTTGTTTTAAAGCTGCTGCGTCGCGTGTTTTGCGTCCAGCAGACTTTTTTGTGTGAACGCTTTTAGGTGGTTGCAGCGAAGATCGCGTGTGTAACGTGGATCGTTTAGCGGCGCTGGTAGGAGTGATTTTCGCATTTGCAACAGGGGTTATTCTTGGAGCAGTTTTTCGGTTCACCTCTGTGTAATTGTTTTACTGGAAACGTCCCATGTTTTCCATCAGGCTCCACTTTGTCCTTTTTAACGGTTTTTTTCAAGTTGAAAAGGGGTTTTTCTGTGTGTATTAGGGAAGTTTTTTTCTTTACACAATTTTCCTAAAGGTCAGTTAGCAGGTTTCCGGCCAACCAGTGACCCATAAGTAACATCCAAGAATCCCTCCTTTTGGTTTGACTTGTGCTAGCTACTGTGTGCAGGGAGAGAAAAGCCACTTTCATCATTGTGCGGTGTGGCCTGCCAAACACAGTGGGTGATGAGAACCACATAAATTGCGCTGTGCGAGTGGGCGGTCCAGGGAAGTGTAACGCTTAGCCTGGGTACCACAAACACTTCGGGTGGTCAGGATCATATAAATTGCGCTGTGGGAGGTGTGCTCTCAGTCTGACCGCCACTTGATGCGCTTCGGGTGATCAGAATCACATAAATTACACTGTGCTGGGAAAGTGGTGGAATCAGGCCTCTCGGTAGGATCCCACCGAGTGCTCCAGGGGGTAAACAGGTACCCGGACGCGGGATATATACCAGTGACTAGTCACGATGGACAGTAGTCAGTCCATGAAGAGAGAGGGGAACCAGCCCTCTTCAGGGTAAGGACAGCTGCACAACTGATGAAGGAGAGTTTGGGGGGGAAGTCTACAGAACCACTCAAAAGGTGGAATAAATGGTCGAAGGGTACCAGATGGGAAATTCCCCAGGAAGGTACATTTGACGCATGGAGGTGGGAAAAATTCATCTCTGAATTTGAACCACGGATGCAGGTGTCAGAACTAGAGATCGCACAGCTATGGCTTCACAGGTCAATCCGATTAGGGAAGCAGGGCATACATAAACTGGTGTCTGTCCGGAAGAACCAGGTGATGTATACCTGGCCTCCAGAGGGAATAAAACAGGAGGATCCGGTGTCAGAGGTGGTGGAAGCTCTTTCAGGGCTGACTCTACTAAGGCAGGCAGGATCAGGGTCTGCTGGGGTTCCCGAATAACCAACAGTGGCTGAGATAAGTATAACTGCACCTGTCTCTTCTGCTAGTGACGTCACTCTTGACGTACCTTTCGTGTCTTCTATATCTATGCCTCAGCCTCTACCTCTCCCTTCTCCCTGCTTCACCTCAGCTCCTTCTGTTTCCAACTACGAAGTCTTCTCAACAACCGATTTACAGACTATCTGCAAATCAAGGGGAATAGACACCCGGTTAAGAAACAGGGCGGATTGCATCAAAGCACTACGAGCCACTGATCAGACCCCTGCCCCCCAGCTATACCCTGATCTGAGGGACCTCAAACCTGAAGGTGCAGTAAGCGAGGTGGTTAATCTAAGCCCACCGATGAGCTGAGCCAGCCTTTGCACTCTTCCCGGACCGAGGCCTATCCAGTCAGGGTGCAGCAATTTGAAGGTCCCTCCCAATGCACAGGGGGAGCGAACTTTAGGGGAACGGGTAGTTTGGCATGTCCCCTTCACCCCGGCAGAGATCCGCACTATTCTGGCTGAGCTCCCGGGCTATCGAGTCAATCCGAGAGGATTTGCTCGAATGTTTGGACAAAACCAGTTCAGCTATGGTATGAGCGGGTCAGATTGTGCGCAGATCCTGCGGGCAAAGGTGGGCATGGAAGTGGCCAGTGCAGTGATTGCAGGGTGCTCTATAACCACTCATGAGGAGATGACTTCAGGGGGCAAAGAGTTTTGTGCACAGCTAAAGGCAAAGCTTCCAGAAATGTATGGAGCTACCTCTACTACGGACATGATGAAGCTCACCCAGGGTCCTAATGAGGAAAGCGCCTGCTTCTGGCACCGTCTCAAGCAGACGGCACTGGATGCGGATCTGGAAGTTGGACCTGATGCTACAACTGAAGGGGTAAAGGTGACTGCGACGCACATTCTGTTGTGGGCCACATTTTTGGAAGGCATTGATACTAAAATTCGGGAAAGGCTGGTTCTGCCCAACCCGAATATAATGAGATGTCTATCCCTGCTATCCTTTCCACTCTTGCGGCAATAGAGAGGGAAATGGATAGGAGAAAACAGGACAAGGCCAAAGTTCTTATGTCCCAGACCTCACACGAAAAACCAAGGGATCTGGGTCACAGGAAGGATAGGTCCCCTCCCAGGTGTTTTTTCAGTGCCACCAAACGGGGCACATGAGGAGGAGCTATCCCCAACTACCTAAAGGTCGGTGGCAGTTCATTCCTGATGAGTCCTCTGCCCCTGTCACCACCATGGTAAGTAACTCCTATGGATCCTCATAGGAAGTTGGCAAATCGGTGTCGGCCCAGGTCCATCTTTTTCTAGAGGAATTAAAACATCCCCTCCCTTGCCTCACCGACACCAGTGCAGCAAGAACGGTCTTGCAAAAACAGGACATCCAAGGCAAGGTACCCCTCTCAGGGGAAAGCCCTCCTAACCCCTACTAACCTCACCATCAAACGATGCACTATTCTTAACCCAGCTTCTCTTCTTCCTGTGTCGGAAGATGAGAAGGGGGGGGGGGGGGGGGGAGGACAGCAACGACAGTGCTGAATTTTGCAACCCGACTAACGATACTAACACCTCTTCTGCTAACATGTCTTCTGTGTCCACTACTAATCTCTCCTCCAAAGGACACGACTGCATTTCTCTGATGGAACTGGAGTCCGCGGCGATCAGCCCAGTGAAGGAAGCGCCACTACCGGAAGCGAAAAATCTTTTTGTCGATGGGTCCAGGTACTACACCCAAGACGGTAATCCACACACTGGTTGCTCTTTGAACGCACATATGTCAGCTCAGGAAGCTGAGCTGTGGGCACTGGCCAGGGCATGTGAGTTGACGTGTGCCAACGCTAGTACCACGGCGAAGAAATACCTGTCTGAGGGTGTGTGCCGCTGGGGTCTACCTGAAACCATTGAGTCTGATAGGGGGTCACACTTCACTGGACAGATCTTTGCAGAGGTATGTAAAGCCCTTCACATCAACCAAGGGCTACACACCCCATATCACCCCAAGAGTAGCGGTAAGGTTGAACGTCTCAACGGAATCCTTAAAAACAGGATCTCCAAAATCATGGCCGATACCCAAAAACCTTGGCCTGAGTGTCTCCCCATTGCCCCCCTATTCCATCCAGAATGCCCCTCAGCAACCACATGGGCTGTCACCCTACAAGGTGTTGTTTGGGGGACCTCCCAAAACAGGGTTGTACTTTCCTCAACAGTTGTCATCTTTGCATTCACAGCTTACAGTTTACGTGCAATCTCTGCAACAGGAGATGCAGAAGATACACCACCGTGTTCGCAAATCACTCCTGGATCCAAATGCAATAACGGGGTGTTCTTTCTATTGAGCCAGGTGATTGGGTCGTCCTAAAGAAACATCAAAGAACCGGACTCGAGCCACGGTTCACCGGACCATACCAAGTCCAGCTGACGACACCTACCTCACTCAAGCTCGAGGGACAAGACAACTGGGTGCACGCAAGCCACTGCAAGAAGCTTTTCAGCTACACCAGAGAATGAGGGGTGTCATTTTCCTTTTTCTTTTTGTTTGTATGTCTTACATGTGTGTGAACGGAGGAAAAGACGGCAGATACCCCAACCTTTTATTTAAAATGCATCTGCGTTTAGCCAGAACCGCCAACAAAACCAACTGTTGGGTATGCTCTAAGCCCCCACCCAGTCATCACATGTCCGCAATGGCCGCTGTTCATGCCCTATATGACATCCGCGTCGGCATGAAAAAGCAAGGGACCCCTGGTCAGATCCCTTGTGAAAAAGTCGGAAGTGACGAAACGCGTCAGGGTCGTGACGTCGGACGCTGAGCTGGAAGGATCAGGGCGGCCATTTTGGAATTTCTCACAACAGTGAACAGACTAGAGCGAGGATGGACGGTATATTTTTAAGATGTAAGTGTTGAAATAAAAGTGTGAATTACTTTTTACTCCACTGAGTCTGCTCCTATTTTCTGGTGAGGAACGGGGATCCCGGTACCTATGACCTGTGGCTATATGGAAAAGAGATCCCATGGTATATGACCGAGAGGAAGAGGCACCTACTAGGAATGTTATCTTGTGGCATAAAGGAATCCTATATGATTTGATTTAACAGCAAGAGGGTAATTGCATTCTATCCCCTAACAGAGTGTGGCACTGTATTTGGCACTACTGTCACGGATCATTGTCTCACGGATCACGCTGTGTGTTTTGTGATATGTATGTTTCACGGTTGCAGTGTTGTCTCACTGGACCACTAGCGTTATGGTGTATTCACTTTAATTTTGTATACATTATTTATATCACGAGTGTGATTGCATGGTACCACTTGTAGTAATTTTGTATTTAGGATAATGCACTATATTTTACTTTTTTTTTTTGAGGGTCTTATGGATTGAACGGGAAGATTTGGACACATTTGGAATATTGTTGTTTATTTATTTTTTTTGGTGACTTTGGACTATGGACTATGGTTTGGACAATATATGAGTAGTATAAGACTGTGGGAGAGGGTATTTTTGAGATTTTTTGAAAAGGTTTATGTTGCTATTTTCTGTGTAGTTCGGCAGCCTATAGAACATTTCCCCAGAACGTGAAAGGTTTGCGTCCCCTCATAAAGCTAGTCCCCGCATCCTATGTAGTGATGGATCATGAAGAGTTGATGGTCCACAAGAAGGTAAGGATGGCAGGGAGAGTTTGCAGGGAGCTGTTCTCTGAGGGCGACCAGGCATGGGCTTGGTTCCCCTCATGGACAGGTTGGGGAATAGAACTTATGAAGCGCCTGAACAATATTTCTGTCATCGTGGATAGTATGTTTAACGAGACCGTAGAGGCTGTCAGAGAAATTGCCCTAAGAACATTGGCAGATGGGAATTTTAGTGCTTCAGGAGAAGATGGCCCTTGATTACCTTTTAGCCGCCAAAGGGGGGTTCTGTGAGTTCATCGGAGAGGATTGTTGTACTTGGATAGAAGATACCGATGACAAGGTCCAGGCCCATATGGACAAAGTTAGTGAGCTACAGGGAAAAGCTAGAGCTATAGCTAGTGAGGGTTTGAATCTGTTCAAGGGTTTGGGAGATTTCCTGTTCTCCATCAGATCTTGGTTGAAGAAAGGAAGTGGGAGTGTATGTCCTGATGCTTCTGTTTTTCCTCTGCCTCTTATATGCCACAGTGAGATGTTCCTGTTGCCTCATCGACCATGTAAACCAAGCTCAGGAAGACAACCACATCTCCATGCCCGCTCCTGGGGATCCCACAATCACTGATCAGAGGAAGACCTCACCAACCAACCACTTTCTCTGCAGATTACATCCTGGCTTCCCTCTAATTTATCTCCCTGAAGACCACATTCTCCAAGACCTCCAAGCAAGCTTCAAGCCTCATCATTGTTTGTGTCTGCGTGTTGGAAAACCGTCTGGGTCGAGACCAGCCTTGTGTGGCCCCGTCTGCAGGGGTAATTTGAGAATCTGCTGCTGGATCTCCCCGGACCACCGTGGGATCACAAGTGTCAGAGCCTGGGATCGAACCTGGTCCTTCTGCAGTGAGAGGCAATGTCTCTTCTCACTGAGCTATCTGGAATGCTGGACAGCTCCCTTGACAATTCTTGGATAATCCTGCCTTGTGCCTTGATTACTCTTGAACCTTGAACTCCTTGCTCCTCCCATGAACTTCCTTATAAAAGCCATGTCCATGCACTTCCTCCTTGCCAGATTATTGTGCCTTTCCAGCCAATATCCCGCTACTGTTCCTGCTGCTGTCTACACCTCCGCTACTGACCTTCGGCTTGTTCCTGACCAAGATTTCGTCTCATCCTAACGTACTACGATTGATCTGATACCATTTGTGACCGACCCTTGGCTTGTGACTGACTCTGCTTTCGTCTGATCCTGTCAAGGTCCTACCTTTTTTCCCTGAGGTTTTGTTACTCCATGTGCTGGTGTCCATCTTGGATTCTGCTGTGCATGGTGGGGAATCCTTTTATGCCTTCAGGTCTCTGAGGTCCATCCCCCAGAGGGGTGTGGCTGATGACATATAAGCCTGTGGCCCGCACATGCTCTTTGCACTTGTGTCTTTGTCTTCCTACAGCTCTGTGTATATGCTCGTGACTCTTCTGGTATTCTGACTCGGCTTGTGATTAAGACCATTCTCTGTGTTTTTCCTTCGATCTGACCTTCCGTTGCTGAACCCGGCCCGTGACCTGTGATTCTCTGTCTACTGTTCTGTACCGTTTTGTCCCGTTGTTGTCGACCCAGCTTGCCTGACTACGCTATTGTCATTCTCACCAGCTACACGCCATTGGCGGCGGCCATTACCGCAGCCGGGGTGTCTCGGGGGCCGCGGGGCCCTGGTTCCTGGCTGCGTCAAGTCCATCCCCACCATCAGGGGCCCTGGTGAAGGGCAGCCTGGGACTTAGACTCCTGAGGGACTTCGGTCTGTTGGTGGTGGTTGTCGTCAGCCAGTTCGTTACCCTGCCACTAGGCCTACCTGTCTGTTCCACAGCCCCGCCCTGACAGATCCCTAACCTGTTGATCCGCTATTGGTTCCCAGTCTGCTCATTCCCTGGTGGGGTGATCCTGAGATCTGCGACCTGGTATTAACACGCAGCCCAATCCATCTCCACCATTAGGAGCTCTGGTGAATACCGGTTAATACTTAGACCCCCACCTCAGATGAGCCTGCGTCATTCCCAGGGGGATCCGCTGGTGTACCTATACTGCTGGTTTCAGGTAAGCCTTTTACTGCTATAGCAACTGGTCTCTGAACCTGACCTTATATCGTGACAACAAGCCTTATTCATACCACCACAAGTCTGTTTGTGGTTTTTGCAAGAGCCTTCCTGTAGTGAAGGTTCCAACGCTCTTGAGGATCATCGCTTCAATCAAGCCTGTTTGCGTTGAGTCTGCGTCGGGTTTTGTTTTTTCAGGTACCCTGTGGAGCTTTATTCTCAGGGACAACTACAGGAACTCTGGTCTAAGACCAACTCTTTGAGGTTTTGAGACTACACCCATCAAGCTGAAGGAGATCAAGAAGGGACACGAGGAGAATATCATAAAACAGGAGGGAATGTCATGGAAATTTTGTATTTACAGGTTGAACTTTAAATGTGTCATATATGAGTGTTATTCATATGTCTCTCGTGTGGCTTAATTAAAGCTCTGAAGGCTGCAATTGGGCCATGCGCATTTATAATGTATGTATTACAGTACTCAGCTCAGTAATGGATGAGATGGCAGATCTGCGCTTATAGACCGGCGTGTATACCACCACGGCATTCCTGTATCCACATATCAGCAGCATAGTACCACATGGACTTCGTACCGCAAGGCGCCAAGCAGTGCGAACTCTGTGTGTAGGCTCATGTAAATCTTACAAGCCATTACCAACCTGAAACTGTATCTGGATGGATGTGTTTTAATAAAGATCGTATCGGGCCCATTCAGATACAGACTGACACTGTTTAATCTAGGGGATGCTTGTACAGAGAATTTACATACCACTAGGAGCTAATAGGAGGGGGAAGGTTGCTTCCCTCAGAGAGCTCATGGAGGGAGGGGAGGACTGGTGATAGATAAGAGGAAAGGCTACGCTCCAATCGGAATGTACATCCTGTGTATAGGCACTCCTCATGCATTGTTCTGTGCGAGGGGATTGACCTGACTCATGTGGGGGGGCATGTGTGTGTTTGTAATAAAAATCAGAGGCTGGGGTTGGATCGGTCTCTATGTGAATTCCAACAGCAACCTGAGAGTGTCGTGTGATCATTCCCAGGTAACTGGAGCTCCATTTCCCCACAATTCTGAGATAGCTAAACCAGTTGGAGGCGCAGGAATCGTGGAGCTAAGTTGCAGTCATGGTAAGCGAGATTCGCACAGCTTTATGGGGGATTGCTGCAAGGTAAGGAGAAATTCGTTAAAAGCGAATTTCCAAGACACTACTCTAGTATACATTTGGTATATGGTTGGGTGCTAGCAGACCCCCCCCCCCATTCGGCAGCATTGTTCATTTAGTAGCGCAGGAGGCTTATACTGTAGTTGAACGGCCATGTCTTGGTAAGTTTTCAGTTGTGCCATACTCTATAAAATTTTCGGATGATGGATTGAACAGTGCTCCGTGAGATGTTCAAAGCTTGGGATATTTTTTTATAACCTAACCCTGCTTTAAACTTCACAACTTTTTCCCTGACCTGTCTGGTGTGTTTCTTGGCCTTCATGATGCTGTTTGTTCACTAATGTTCTCTAACAAACCTCTGAGGGCTTCACAGAACAGCTGTATTTATACTGAGATCAAATTACACACAGGTGGACTCTATTTACTAATTAGGTGAAGGAAATTGGTTCCACTAGATTTTAGTTGGGGGTATCAGAGTAAAGGGGGCTGAATACAAATGCACACCACACTTTCCAGATATTTATTTGTAAAAAGTTTTGAAAACCATTTTTCATTTTCCTTCCACTTCACAATTATGTACCACTTTGTGTTGGTCTATCACATAAAATCCCAATAAAATACATTTTTGGTTATAACATGACAAAACGTGGAAAATTTCAAGGGGTATGAATACTTTTTCAAGGCACTGTACTTTTACATTATGACAAGAGCTGTAGAGATCCTCTTTATACTCTCATTAGTTAGGAAGCTACAGTCTTGCAATTACAGTATATATCCAGTTCCTGATTGCCCCATGCAGATATTCTGCTGCAAGGCAGCCACTGTGTCCTGGATCATGTATCTGATACTGTACATAATCAGCGGTTCCGGGGGGGGGGGCGTGCACATGTGATTTGTTACAGCACAAGCCGATCAGTGGATCCCAGCCAATGACTAATTGCCAGAACCCGCTGATCCGTTTAGTGATGTGCGGAACAGAGCTCTGTGATTGTAAACAACACAGAGCTCTGTACAGTAACGGGATCTTGCTGTCTTTTTATTCCTGGCTAAGCAGGGAAATAAAACAACAAGATCCCTTAGAAAACCCCCCCCCCCATTTTACACACATTAACACTTGTTAGGCACAGTTAAACCCTTGATTGCCCCTAGTTGTTAACCCCATCCCAACCAGTGTCATTAGTACAGTGACAGTGTACAGTGTATAGTATTGGCACAGATCACTGTATTATTGTCACTATTGATGTCAGTCAGTCAATCAGTTAGTGTACCTTCCAGCCATTGTCAGCTAGTGTCAGATTGCCCACCGCAATATCACAGTCCCACTATAAATCGCTGATCGTTGCCATTACTAGTATAAAAAAAAATACATAAAAATTCCAGTATATATACCACAGTTTGTAGACACTATAACTTTCACAAAACCCATTAATGTATGCTTATTGGGATTTTTTTAACCAAACACATGTAGCAGAATACATTTTGGCACAAATTTATGAAGAAATTTGATTTTTAAAATGTTTTATTGGATATGTTTTATTGCAGTTAAAAATATTGTTTGTCTCCTAGATTTTTTTTTTGTTTATATAAAAACAAATAAAAACCCCAGTGGTAATCAAATACCGCTAAAAGAAAGCTCTATTTGAGTGAAAAAAAATGATTTGTCAGTTTAAGTAGCGCAGTGCTGAACAGCACAAAATGGCCTGGTCATGAAGGGAGGTAAATCTTCCGGAGGTCAAGTGTGTATAGGAAGAATCATTATCTGCAGTGAGCATGCACTTGTATATCTGTGTTTCCTACAAAGAGTTGTTAGTGGTCTGTTGACACAAATTGAACTCAGCAGTTGTTCTTCCAATTTAGGCCCTTAGACTAGTTTCACACCCATGCAGGTTGTGTTTGAGCCCTTTCTGCATTGCGTTTTGCCGCGTTTTGGTTTTTTTTTTTTTATTTTATTATTTTTCTTGTTGCTAGGCAAATTTAAAACACAAAACATATTAAAAAAAACATCAAAAACATGGCAAAAACGCATCAGAAATGCACTACATGCTTTTCTGCAGCATTTCCATTGAAGTCTAAAGAACCAAAAACGCAACTTTTTGCGTTAAAAAAAAAGTCCCTGACCCATTCCAAAAAACACATCAGGTGAAAATGGGGAGATGTGAACATGTCCCATAGGAAATCATATTAAATGGACTGTACTGCGTTTCTGCAAAACGCTGCAGAAAACGCTTAAGTGTGAACATAGGGTTATGGCTTGTTCACACTGCTCTGCAGTTCAAACCGCTGCTGTCTGCACAGCATTTAGTGCTGGAAGGCCGTGCAGCTAGGGGCACACTGCTCTGGATGGCTGTGCTCAGCCATCCAGAGCAATGTGCTTACAGTGAAGCATCAACACACTGTCCCCTAGTAAAACACTCCCTGCACACAGTTAACCCTTTGATCTCCCCTCATGTTAACCCCTTCCTGCCCAGTGCTATTAGTACAGTGTCAATGCTTTTTTTTTAGCACTGATCACTGTATTGGTGACACTGGGGATGTCAGTGACACCTAGTCAGTTGCACCCAGTGCAGGGGCGGACTGACCATTTGGAAACTCGGGCGCTGCCCAAGGGCCCGGGGTCAGTAGGGGGCCCCATAAGATGCCCTTGGTACCTTTTTCATAGGCTTTTTTTGAGTTTGGGCAAGGACACAGGGGCCCCATGATCCCCTATTGCCGGGGGCCCCATGAGCTGTCAGTCTGCCCCTGCCCCAGTATCATAGTGCCCATAGTGTTTTGCAGTCCCGCAATAAGTCGTTGATCGCCGTCATAAGTCGCTGATTGCTTCCATTATTAGTATTAAAAAAATGCCAGTATCTATACTGTTACTTTCCGCAACAGTTGTTTCCTATACTGCCATTTGTAAACGCTATACCATGTAAACCAATTAATTTACACGTACTGGGATTTTTTTTTAAGCAAAGACATGTCACAGAATACAATATGGCCTAAATTTATGACGAAATTTGATTTTTAAATTTTTTTTACTGGACATGTTTAATAGCAAAAAGTCCAAAATATTGTTTTTTTCTCAAAATTGGCAGTCTTTTTTTTTTTCATAGCACAAAAAATAAAAAAAACACACAGGCAATCAAATACCACCAAAAGAAAGCTCAATTCGTGGGAAAAAAAGGACGTAAAGTTAATTTGGGTGCAGTGCTGCATGACCGCACAATTGTCAGTTAAGGTAACGCAGCACTGTAACGCAAACTGCTTCTTTAATATTGCACAGCTCTGGAATGCAGTGAAACACCATGTTCTGGTCTGAACAGGACACACAGAAAACTATTGTTGTCTGTGTGTCATTGCAGTTACCTGCATTTTTCCAGGAAAACTGCAGATAGCAGCACCTAGTGTGAATGGGCTACTTTGCATATGAGTAGAGAAAAGCCTCTTTTAAAGGCATTTTTCATTTTATTTATTTTACCTCTGAACTCTGTTTCAGTTGAAGTGTCCACATAAATTGCGGTGTTTAGATTCATATATAGGGTGTTAAATAATGCCACAAACCTGCGTTCACAAAGTAGCTTACTGGTATAATTTATGCATGTAAACATGAGCAAATAAAATAATTCTAGTGGCCAGAACAAATGAATATTCTAGCCAACACAATAAACTGTCATGCATGAGCTTCTAAATTCTATAGACCAATGGTCTCCAAACTGTGGCCCGGGGGCAGGATGCAGCCCTTTGCTTGCCTTTATCCGGCCTTTGAGGCAATTATTCCTTTCACTGACACCCACACTGGGGCACTATTCCTTCCACTGACAGCCACACTGGGGCACTATTCCTTCCACTGACCCCAACAATGGGGCACTATTCCTTCTAGTGACCCCAACAATGGGGCACAATTCCTTCCACTGACCCCAACAATGGGGCACTATTCCTTCTAGTGACCTAACCAATGGGGCACTATTCCTTCCACTCACTCCAACAATGGGGCACTATTCCTTCCACTGACTCCAACAATGGGGCACTATACCTTCCACTGACCCCAACAATGGGGCACTATTCCTTCTAGTGACCCCAACAATGGGGCACTATTCCTTCCACTGACCCCAACAATGGGGCACTATTCCTTCTAGTGACCCCAACAATGGAGCACTATTCCTTCCACTGACCACAACAATGGGGCACTATTCCTTCCACTGACCACAACAATGGGGCACTATTCCTTCCACTGACACCAACAATGGGGCACTATACCTTCCACTGACCCCAACAATGGGGCACTATTCCATCTAGTGACCCCAACAATGGGGCACAATTCCTTCCACTGACCCCAACAATGGGGCACTATTCCTTCTAGTGACCCCAACAATGGGGCACTATTCCTTCCACTGACCCCAACAATGGGGCACAATACCTTCCACTGACCCCAACAATATGACACAATTCCTTCCACTGACCACAACAATGGGACACTATTCCTTCCACTGACCACAACAATGAGGCAATATTCCTTCCACTGATCTCAACAATCGGGCACAATTCCTTCTAGTGACTCCAACAATGGGGCATAATTCTTGCTACTGACATCAACAATGGGGCATCATTCCTGCCACTGACACCAACAATA